CATTCAACTCTCAAAGGAGAACATAAGGCTCCGGAAGTTCGTCTATTGAAAACTGGAAGTCATATTTTTGTAGGTGATAGCTCGGAGGTACATAAAGAGTACAAATTGTGATCAGTTTGTTGAAAAGCACAGCTCAAACAGCCACTGCCTCAAGAGATGATTGGAGTTGAAAGTGTGTGCATGGAATCTCTTGGTTCACTATAATCGCAACCCCTCCGGATGATGTCAAGGCATCATCACGGTCATTTCAGAAACTTGCGTATTTACGCAGGAAGTTGGTGTGTTTTAGATTTAAGTGTGTTTCTTGTACACATAGCACTTTTGGTCAGTGTTCGTGTAAATGTTCTCGGACATCATCGAGGTTCCTGATAAGACCCCTGACGTTCCATTGTATAATTTGAGTGTTCATGGTGAAAGTAAAGTAATGCTGTGTGTACAAAGAGCGAGTGGCTGTTCAAGCAGAAAGTTTGAATTCAAGTAACAGGGCCGTTACCAGGCCCCGTTATCTGCTTTTTTGTTTTCTTGACGGGCTCTAAGGAGCCACGCCGCTCTTTCAGCACCAAGGGTACCAACACATCCGTTGCCTCCTCGGAGGCACTGGATGCCCGCACATGCGAGCTGGTAGTTCGAATTTTGGGCCTCACCAGGTGAGGTGAAGCCTTGAAAACTGAGGACTCTGGGGTTTTTGATCTCCGTTCGTGAGTAGGCAAAGTAGGCTGAACTACTGCCGCCTTGGGCGCAGGTGCCACAGCCGATGGCTCGCTACGCGCGGGCCGAAGGAGTGGTGAGGGCTGATGCGACGCTGCCCCATACGCGCCGCGTCAGTGTAGGTTGGGCCATAAAATGGCAAAACTCTTCTTTTTGCTTTTTTAAACAAGATATTCTCCCTCACCTTCAATGTGACATTCTCTCTTTCTTTATTCCAGAATAAACAAGACCATGAGTAGGCAGCATGATTTCCGTCACAGTAGTTCACACAATGCACTGGTTGTTTGCAGGTTTCGGACTTGTGGCCAGAAACTCCACATTGGGCACAGGTTTGCTGACCACAACAGCTTTGTGAGACGTGGCCATATTTTTGACATTGGAAGCAATGGCGAGGATTAGAAATGTATGGGTGAACACGAAGCTTTGTGTACCCAGTTACAAGCGTCTCTGGAAAAACGCTGAAGCCAAACGTAATGATGATGTGTTAGGTATTTTTGCCATCTCGCTTCATAATAATTCTCTTGACATTGACTACATTCTCATTTTTCCATCAATCAAAAAGTTCCGCATCTGTCAAGTCAGCTAGATCATCCTCCAATACAACTCCTCGGACAGTGTTCATTGAACGGTGTGCCAATACAGTGATAGGGATATCCCCAAAAGTCTTTAGGTTGGATAGTCTTTAATATTGTTCCTTGTTGCGGATTTCAATAAGGAGATCTCCACTAGCCATTTTCGTAGCTCTGTAATCTGTTCCAATGTGTTTATTAGGCACCTTAAAACTAGGAACGGGGAGAGTTTTCTGACTGGCTTTGTAGGTGTGTCACTATGAATAACATGGTAGCATGGGAAGTTGTCCTTGTTGAGCTGAAAAGGTTGAAAGTTTGCTTCAGTGCGCACCCTCTTCAGGGAGCGATAAATGGAGAGTTCAAAGTTTTTTGCCATAAAATATGGATTGTGTTCAGTCGCGATGGCAGCCACCCACCACCAAGCCCAACAAGGGGATGCTGCAAGACACAAAAAAATGGCTTGCATACGCCAGCTGTACACCGCCACTATAACCTGATGTGACGCATCCAAAGGTGGAGTGAACACATGAGGTTAACCCCTGCCGCCAGGAAGAATCGGAAGTTAACAGAAGAGAGAAGACAGGACAGATAAAAAGTGAGAGATAAAGACGAAGGTGTAGCGGAAAGAGATAGGAAAAGGCGACTGCCGATTTCCCCTGTGTGGGTCAGCTCAGGGGTGCCATCTACGTGAAGCCGGGACCAAAGGGTGTGTTGCCTCTGCTGGGGGGCCTGAAAGATCCTGTCACCCGGCGTCGGCTCAACCCCCAGGATCCCCTTTTCCCCAGACACGACTCAGCCATGCAGGACTAGGCGTGGGAGAGGTCGAAACCCCCCGTTAGCTTGGGTCCGTGGTGTCGCTACACACCAAATGCCTGCTTAAGCAGACGCCCTCCGGAGATATGACGTGAAAGGTATGGACATCTCTCAAAAAAGCCAATAACAATTTATGTGTTAAAAGTGGTTCTCTACCGATGAACAATGCAGGATGAATAGGTATTTGGTGTCGATAGGGTAATGAAAAGTGTTGTCTTCTCAGCGTGTCTGATTGTATACATTGTATTAAAATGTGAAGTACGGTGAGTGCTTCTCCACATCTGTCACACAAAGGTGGATCGACACCAGACAAAAGAAATGAATGTGTAGTGTGTGTATGTCCTGTTCTTAACCTTGTATATCTTCTGTGTGGCGTGATTTTAATACTGGCCACCAATGACCAAGTTACAGCTTGATAACATGCAGTTTATTACCTGTGTCTGTGGTCCCATGTGCTCTGCCAATAACCTCTGAGCTTTTGTTTCAGAAAAGGTTTCAAGTCAAGTACAGAAATTGGTACCGATGTATTAGTAGCAGTTTTGTTGGCAGATCCTCCACCAAAATGTTGCCTTGCATTTCGCGGTGCCCTGGCACCCGGCAGACTACAACATGCTGTTTGGACGAGTAGACTGTGCATAAAAGTGAATAAAGCGAGACAAGGACAGGGTTTTTGTGCTTTTTAAGAGTTTTCAGAGCTTTTACTACGCTTAGGGAATCTGTATATATTATTGCCTTCTGTAGTTTTATTTGTTTAATATGTTTAACGGCCACAAGTATCACATAAGCTTCACTGGTAAAAATGCTTGCATCAGAGTGCAGAACATCGGTTTCCGAAAAGAATGGGCCGACGGCTGCATACGAGACAGAAGTGTTGGACTTTGAGGCATCCGTAAATAACTCAGGACATGTGTATTTATGTTGTAGTTCTAGGAAATATGTCTGAATATGAGCTATTGGCGCATGCTTCGTAACCTCTAAGAAAGACACATCACAATCTATCGCCTGCCTCTGCCACGGTGGCAGGCATACTGCGGAAGCCATCAAACAGTGTTCAAGTGGCGCACCGGTTTCCTTCGCTGGGCCCCTCACACGGAGTGAGTAGGGCTTTCTCATAAAAGGCCATTTTTTCAAACACAGCAGAACTTGACATGTCAGTGATTGTAGAATGTGAAGGGTGTTCCTAGTCTATGTTCACATTAAGATAATATTTAAGACATGTAACATCTCTGTAGGAGGAGCGACCATTCGTTCGATTCCACGTACAGGCTTTCCATGGAGACAGTGCGAAAAGCACTCGTAGAGAGGCGGATGCCTAGATGATGAACAGGATCAAGCATTTTAAGGGAAGTAAGTGTCCCAGACTGGTATGTTATTGCCCCATAGTCTAGGCGAGTACGTATGAGGCTTTTATACGAGTTCATGAGACACTTCTTGTCGCTCCCCCACAAACTGCGTGACAACACTTTTAGAATGTTCATGGCTCTGATGCACTTGTTTTTTAGATACTTGACGTGTGATACGAAGGTTAGCTTGGTGTCCAGGATTAGGCCTAAGAATTTGTGTTCGGCATTACCAGACAGACATTGCCCATAGAGTTGAACGCCAGGTTTGGAATGAATGCTTCTCTTCCGAGAGAACAAGACACGCATGCTTTTCTGTGCAGTCAGTCGGAGCCCATTTTCTTGTGCTCAATGGGAGACTTTGTTCAAACCAAACTCAATCTGTTGCTCACACATGGCCAGATTACAAGACTTGAATCCAAGTTGGACATCGTCGACATATGTGCAGTAAAACATAATTCGAGGGATAGACAAGCGTAAAGAATTCACTTCAATAATAAAAAATACACCACCTTGCAGCACTCCTGTTTCTTGGACAATTGTTTGGGAAAGAACGCTACCCACTCGGACACAGAATGTCTGATTTGAGAAGTAACTTTTGATTATGGTAAACATTCTGCAACACACGCCAAGGTGGGACAGGTCTCTTAATATTCAAAAATGACACCACATTGTATTGTAAGCCTTTTCAATATCGAGAAACACAGAAAGGAAGTATTGTTTGTGGACGAAAGCGCCTTTGATCTGTGCCTCGATACGAACAAAGTGATAAGTAGTGAATCTACCATCTCGAAATCCACCCTGGAATTTGTCGAGCAAATTGTTTGTTTCAAGGAAATGTACAAGTTGGCAGTATATAATTTTTTCAAAAAGTTTGCACAGGCAGCTTGTAAGTGCAATAGGCCTATAACTCAAAACTGAAGAAGGGTCCTTGCCCTGTTTCAAAATGGAAAAACTAATAATAGCCTCCTTCCAGGAAGTAGGGATAGCGCAAGAAAACCAGATAGCATTGTACAAGCAAAGTAAGGTTTTTGTGTTTCGATGGGTAGGTTTTTCAACATTTCGTACACCACATGATCAGAACCTGGGGTGGAAATACTGCAGGAGTTTAGTGATGTTTGGAGCTCAGCTAAGCTGAAAGATTGGTTGTATGCCTCGTATTTTGTACATTCGTGTTCTATTTCCTGCTTTACTATTGTTGTTCTGTATTTTTGAAAAGTGTCAGTACAGTGTGACGAGCTGGACACCCGTTCGACGTGTGCGCTGAATAACTTCACCTGCTCTTCCAAGCTGTCACTCTGTGTATTTACGACTGGGAGTGAGTGCACTTGTCTTCCTGCTACCCTACAAACCATGTTCCAGACTTTAACCTTCTGTGTATACGAATTGAGAGTGACGAGCATGCGGGGCCCACATGAACGTCGAATATTGAGGCGATATCACTGCATTGCCATGTGTCACCAACGTGGCTTTTCCTCGTCCTGTGTGTGCCACTGTGCGAGGGGTCTCCAGCTCACAACAGCATACATCAAAAAGGGCCACCACAACCAAGCTCAAAAGTGTCAGGCACCAGTCGCAACAGCTCGTCCGCAGGCAGGCGATTCGACCTGGGGGTGACCAGCTGCACAGGTTTCCTGTAGTGTCGTTGTGTGGTGGCGTTTTCCAGGCCACTGCCGATGACGCCCAGCCAAGGAATCTCCTGCTCGTTCTTCGTTGCTCTCTTCCTGGGAATATGCACACATACGCACAACTGCAGGCACGGGAGAGTGCTCTGCCCCTACTGAAAAACATCGAGTCCCAAAAATCATCCATGATTGATAGATATCTGGGGTTTAACGTCCCAAACCCACCATATGATTATGAGAGACGCCGTAGTGGAGGGCTCCGAAAATTTTGACCACCTGGGGTTCTTTAACGTGCACCCAAATCTGAGTACACGGGCCTACAAAATTTCCCCCTCCATGGAAAATGCAGCCGCCACAGCCGGAATTCGATCCCACGACCTGTGGGTCAGCAGCCTAGTACCTTAGCCACTAGACCATCACAGCGGGGCCGAAAAATCATCCAAAATAACCTTCCTTAAGTAGTATTACCAAACACAAAGCAGCAATCGGAAGATTTATCTGAGCTTTCGCCAAAACTCCCAATCCTGATTTGAGAATAATCTTCCTATTAGACATCTTTCAAGAAAATAAACAGTTAAGTGATGTGCTCCCCGTGGAATACTTGCGTGCTAGCGTAGGTGATCCGCTGTAACCCACCAGGCCTCATGCACGCCATCTTCTAGTTCCCAAAATTTCGTGCCGCCAAAGATAGTCGTCAGTTTCCTTTGAGCTGACGAAGAGGGAATGGCCGTGCTGCACCAGCACCAGGAACATCCACCTTACACTACAGCAAACAAACGTTATAGTGCTCCTGCGTAGATGAACTACTACTTAACTTTCCCTTGCGGTTACTACTCTCATCAAACATAAACATAAACTCATGAACTAGCTTTTCTTACTTCCACACCGAACACATGCAAACAAAACATGAAATTAACACAAGAAACTTTCACATGAACCCTGAAAAAACTCGCAAGAAATATCCTTGAGTCTCCGCGCTGACTCAACACCCGTTTCCTAAGTCGCTCTTTCTCAACAATTGCTCCTAGGCGCGTTATTATGCAACCGCAGAACGTTTACCTTTAAAACCAAAACATACAAAGCTTACAAAGTAAACAAAATGCAATATTAACTACTGAAACACTCATCTAGTAGCCGAGTTACTCAGAAAACACATTCTAAAACCCAAAACAAACTAAAACCGTCAAAACCAAAGCCCTCCGTGTCTCTGTCAGAGAAGGAACTAAGGTTCCTCGAAGGTTTTGGTGTGCGCAAGTAGTTATATTACCTTTACTGTTCTGTTTCGTTTCCTTATAGACTTTTTCTTTGCCTTTTTCTTTGGTTTTGTATTGTTTTTTCCCTTACTCTTGTTTCGCTCTTGGTGCCATATGGTTTTAGTCCCATGGTTACTGTCTCCCCTATATATTTTTGCGCTCTGCGCAATAAACTCTGTTGGAAGTTAGCGCTCGTGTTCTTCGTGTCTTTCTTGTCTCTGTGTCGTCGTTTTGTTCTTGCGCTATAACTATCATCGTCCTCTTTTATCACTTGTATTGCCTTCCTGCGTTCTCCCCTTCTTTGTGCCCTCTGTACTTCCACTTCCAGTTTTCTTTTCATCTCTCTCTTTTTCTCTCTCCTCCTGGTCCACTAAATACATATTCCCGAAGTGCTCGATATCCGCCATTTCACCTTTGCTTTCAAGAATTACTTCACGAAGTTGAGATGCAGGCGTATCGTCGTTAAAATCTAGGTCAAGATCCAAACACAGCTTCAGCAGGTTCTCTTTCGTCAATCTCATAAGGTCCATGACTACGAGTTTGCTTTGGCTCAGCTGTAACGAAACACAAACCCACCAGCGTTTCAATTTCGAGTCTGGAGAAATCGAAGCCTGGGAAATCCCACAGCGGAGACCACAAGCTTAAGCACACAAGTAATTCTACGTGGCCAACCTACCTCTCCACCTTTTACTGTTTATTCCTCACTCTACTGCTTTCTCCAACTCCCCCCCCCCCCCCCTCAAATTTTCCCACAACGTATCCTTTCAACTTTCGCAAAATTAATACTTGTTCCTATTTAACTATCTAAGCTTTCCTGCTTAACCTACCTGCTCAGGTAATTACACAGTGCTGCTCTCTGCTGAGATAACAACCACAGTAGTTAGGCAGTTGTTGGTCATATCTATCCTTTAACGTGTCTAGGCTAAAAGACTCGATATATCTCAAACACAAAGTCAGGCACTCACCCCATTATGTTCGGTCGTGGTACGCTGCGTCGATCCCGCCGAATTCCAGGGCAAGCCTTGCGGCTGACCTCCGGTCCATGTCGCTCTCCGTCGCTGAGTCTTATCCCACCGCTGCCATCCAGTTGTTGCAACCGGAGTTTGCAGGCACCGGAGATTCAAAATAAAGATGTCGAAGCAGGGGGAAGTTGACTTATTAGAGAGAGATTTAGAGAGACTTATTAGAGAGAGAGTACATTATGTACATGGGGAGCTTTCGTACATGACAAGCTCTTCCTTACATGGCGAGCTCTCGAATTTCGTGCTCCTCTACATGGCGAGCTCTCGAATCTCATGCTCCTCTACATGACGCTCCTTCGAATAAGCCTGGTGGCTCATTATAAAGGCTATGTTCTCTCCAGATCCATAGATCAGGGAACGCATGCAGATGGCACTGTCTAATCACGGATCACAGATAATCGGCGAGGGTGACGAGCATGCACGGCCCACGTAAACATCCGATATTGAGGCGATGTCACTGCACTGCCATGTGTCACCAACGTGGCTCTTCGTCGTGTGTGTGCCGCTGTGCGAGGGTCTCCTGCTCATGACAGCATACATCAAAAGGCCTGCTGCAACCAAGCTCAAAAGTGTCCGCCACACTGCTGATTCAATTAGCGGGCGATTTCGGCTGCCGCCGCTGTCCCATCCAAGGAAGATGCTGCACTTGTTGACATCTCGTGAATGACTCACTGCATCGGGGCGGCACGATGCCTCACCCTCCGGCTAGGAGGAACACTGCCTGGCGGACACAGGCCGCCAGCTGTTCGGTGGCTTGTTTGAGGACCAAAATAACGCCGCTCCCTCGTCAGCTCAGGCACCAATCACAACAATACATGCTATCCCTTGTCTAACTATAACAGCTACACCACCAGATGATGACATGGCATCATCTTGGTCCTTTCGGAAGAATATCTAGTTATGTAGGAAGTTTGTGTACGTTCGTTTTAAGTGTGTTTCTTGTACACACATTTGTGTGTTTCTTGTACACACGATTTTGTTGATGGAGGAGTTCTTGTAGGTCATAGAGGTTTCGGAGAAGGCCTTAGATGCTCCACTGTAATATTTCTGTCTGCATATCAAGAAAATATGTTGCTGTGTGTACTGATAGTATCCTGTGTTGAAGCGAACTTGTTGATTCAGGTGGCAAGACGGTTGTCCGGCCCCGTTATTGGCTTTTTATTTCTCTTGGCGCGCTCCAAGAAGCCACGCCACTCTTTAGGCACCAAGGGTACTGTTGTATTCATTGCCTCCTCGGAGGCACTGGATGCCCGCACATGCAAGCTGGTGGTTCGGATTTTAGGCTTCGCCTGGTGAGGTGAGGCCTCGAAACAAGAAGACCCTGGAGTCTCTAGTCTCGATTCGCAAGGAAGCGGTGTACACTGAACTACTGCCGCCTTGGGGTCAGACACCACAGCCGACAGCTCGCTCTGCACTGGCCGAAGGAGTGGCGAGGGCTGGTGCAGCGGTGCCTTCGACACGCCGCATCAGCAAATGTGGGGCCATATAAAGGGCGAGACTCTTCTTCTTGCTTCTTTTGAATGTGATGTTTTCTTTTTACCTTCAATGTGATGATCTCTTTTTCTTTTTTCCAAAATAAACAGGACCGTGAGTATGCGGCATGGTTTCGGCCACAGTTCACACAGTGAGCTGGTTCTTTGCAGTTGTTGGAATTGTGGCCTGAGACTCCACATTTGTGCACAAGTTTGGTGACCAAGACAACTTTGAGAGCCATGGCCATATTTCTGGCATTTAGAAAACGACGCGGGTTAGGTATGTATGGCCTGATCAAAGTCTTCGTGTACCCAGTTTGAATAGTTTCTTGCAGACGACTGGAAGCGAATGTGAGTATTAGGTATTTTGTTGGTGTTTATTGTCTCTTCTGATGATAATCCTCTATACATTGGTCACATTCTGACTCTTACACTCCTTCAGAAGTTAAGTTTACGTCAGGCCAAGCAAATCAGCGTCAGATACCACTCCACGAGCTGAGTTCATTGATCTGTGTGGTGTTACAGTGATCGGAGTGTCACCAAAAGTTGAAAGACTGTGAAGATTCTCGAACTGTTCTTTCTCTCGAACTTTGAGGAGGAGGTCTCCACTGGCCATTTTGGTAACCTTGTACCTGGCCCCAAGAGTTTCTGTAAGACACCTGGCTACAACAAAGGGGGATACAGCTCTGGCTTGCTTGTCACTTTTCCCACTATGTATGACAGGAAAATGAGGGAAGTTTTCATTTGATCGGTTGAAAAAACTAACGTCTTGAGCGCGTACACGCTTTAAGGCGGTACGATCACTTAGCAGAGGAAAAGCTCTATGCATGCCTGTTATTTTTTTGAGAAGCGTTGGTGGCCATCCACCGCGGAGCCAAATTATGCAAGTAAAAATAATATTAATCATAAATGTGTGTATTCTCAACATGTCACAGAAAAAATCAAAGGCTGTTTTATAGATGTACAACCAAAATTAAAAATGGTTTTGGGCATTGCAAATAGACAAAAGCCAGACATAGTTCATTAACTGGAGATCATGCCTGCTAAGTACGAAAAGCTTATGTGCTACAGAAACGGTTGTGATTTTAAGACCGTGTGTCTTTCCTTTCAAGGGACATACACTTTGAGAGAATATTACATACACACATGCTCTGTGCAGCAGCTGCTTCTTGGGACATCAATGACTATGGTACATGGCCAACTTTCTTCGTTCAATGTGAAGCACACAATAATCATAATGTAAGTTAATTTGGTGCAACGTGGAAATCTCTCAAAACACTCACACATTCACACACTCTTCCATTGAAGAAACACACACTATACACAACAATTGAGTGAAATAGTGTGTGAATGTGTGAGTGTATGGAGGGATTTCCAAGTGGTGCTAAATTTACTTGAAATATTACAAACTACCAATTAGCCCAACAAGCTTTAATAAGCCACACAATAATGCCAAGGGAAATGCACACAAAAACAAAAAAAAAAGGTGTCTTAAAAATGCCAGGCCTAAGCACAACACTCAGCAGACTCACAACGAAGGCTGGATTAGCCTTTCAGGGCCCCCGTCTAAACTCTCGGTGAGCCACTACAGCAAGTGCAGCTGCAAGGTAGCTATTATACCATAAATCACAATTTTGTTAAATGCAAAAAATACCCAACATGCCATTATTTATTGTTCTGTACAGGAACAAAGTACCCATTACACATCTCTACAGCATTATAAGCACTCTGTGGATGCTGTGGCTGATGCTGTGGCTACTAAGCTATATTGCATCTGTTACAGTGATTCCCTGCCAGACATGACACCAGTTAAGATCTTTTCCCAAAGGAGTTTCAAGCACCAGCATGGCTCTGTGATTGGATACTAGACTGTCACACAGAGGGCCTGGGTTCAAATCCTGCTCAATCCTTGATTATTTTTCCTCATGGTGCGCAACAGCAATTACAGACCGTGATGGTGGCGGCAGACAACTACGCCACCAAAACAACTGCTGTTATGACCTCATGATAGCCTTCACTGTAAAAGGGAAGGCGGGGCTTATAAGATGAACATGTACTTCCTCGCTTCAGGTGTTACTTAGGAGAATGAAGGGAAGGAACACAGCCTGTGGATGCTAGTGAAGGCAAAACGTGAGATTGTTTACTTTGGCAGTGAAGCTTGCCTATGGTAGCATGGTAACAGGAGTCTGGTCATAATTTCCTTGTTGATAAATCAATCTCCTTGAAATATTTTTTTGGCAAGGCTATGTAACACCGGAAGTTTTAAAGCTTACAACTACTGGTGTGAAACCTAAATTTGCAATGGGGCCCCGAGAGAAGCCCTGTAAAGCAAACTTCATTACTGTTGTGACTGAATAGGTCTACACTACGGTAAAGGCCAAGGAGTGAGGATCCTGATGGGCTTTTGTCTTTCCTCCTCTAGAATTTGGTTGCGCTGTCACGTAGATTAAGCCAGATAACCACATGCACTGGAAGCCATCCTAGGATTTTGCTTACAGTGTCTTTTCATGCTTAAAAAAACATTTCAGCATGACTGTCATAAGCCAAAGAAAGAATCAGGGAAAATACTTGTTCTGCGTGGTCTGTAGTGGGTGTTTGCTAAACAAGAATGGATGCATTAAGTCACTACCAATTAGCCCAGTTAAACATGCTAATGATAAATAACAAGCTCTGGACAAGTTTGTTTACTTCAATGCTGAGAAAATTGCCCAAGTAAGGCAGATGAACAATATGGTAATATGTTTGTCATCTCAGGTACCTTCTATTCTTCCCACAGAAAAAGATCCGATTTCAAAGCTTATGTACCCTTCAGCAGTAGGATACATAGAAAGGATTGTGCTGCTGCATTTATTGAAGCTCTCAAAAGTAAAGCCACTGGTTATAAAACTATACTTGTGTAAGATATCCAAAACTTGCTCTTACTTTCAACTAATCATCATGAGGAATCCTCGTGCACTTTGGTCCAGCTCTCAACCACATCAGAATAAAGCCGCAGATGGTTGACACCTTCCAGCAGGGACCTAGACAAAGAGGAAACTGATTAAAAACCTAGTATTAAAAAAGAAAAGTTCTTTTGACACTACCTGGGAGATGTGTCGGTCACCGAAGGAAGCGGACGCATCTCATGTTGGCTCTGTTTTTCAAGAACAATTTTCCAGTAATTTTCGGTCAATCAACTTATGAACTTTACAACGTGCGCAGAAAGTGATCAGGAGTTTATTGACACCGAAATTCAAAGTGGGAAAGGACTTTTTTGTGAAATTCGAGAGGTTTTCGACCCATGTCCAACTGGCCCGACGCTAACGTGAGCCAGCCACCCAAGGAGACGTGCTGAGCCTTTCTTTTGATGCGGGTGCTCGCTTGGCTCATCAACGATGGAAGTCCAAGTAAACAGGGAGGATCTCATCCCCAAAGAGTTTCTGGACAGCACGGATTGATGCACTGTCGGATCCAAGACCCAAATTAAATGAGCAAATGCGCAAAGCAATACTTAGAACGGAGCCCCCTCAAACGTCGACAACAGCATAACATCAAGCAGCAAGCCATCAGGAACAGCAAAATGCCACTACTCCTATGAAGCTACTTCAAGATTGTGGTATCATGAGGATGCCTCGACGGTTTCAGTGGTGGTCTCGACCTGGCCATCACTGAAACCGCGCGCCTTGCATCGGTTACTTACCGGGCAGCCAATGTACCGGTGCATGAGGCAGGGGAGGACACGGTGCGCTCCAACAACCACCAAAAAATCATAGTCATGAACACACCCCATGCATCTCACGCCGCAAAGTAGAGACAACTTTATGCCATCACCATCGGCGACTGCCACCACGAAGTTAGTGCAAATAGACGGTTCCTGACTACACAGCGGTGAAGGGAATAATCAAGGGCATCCCGTTGGAAGAGGACGCCAAGCCCATTCACACCAACATTGTTCACGAACGCAAACCTCAAGCCCTGGTAGCCAAACGGCTCGGTAACACCACGACCGTCATCATGGTGTTTGAAGCACTGCGAGTGGCCACTTACAGCAGGTACAGCTGCGCCCTCCTTCGCTGCACCCTGTATCGCAAGCAAGTTGACATGTGTCACTGCTGTGGCAGGTTTGGTTATCGCATGGACGTGTGCCCGAAACCTGAAGACAAAGTGTGTAGTGGTTGTAACGCCCCTAACCCAGGCCCTGACCACAAGTGTTCCCCTTGTTGCAAGCTGTGCAGGCAGACCACAACTGCCACGCAAGGTACAAGACGCCCTACATTGTGACGAAGAGGTAATGGGAACGATGCCGGGCTACAGAGGAGGTGGAGGCCACTGCCACCTCTGATCCTGCCGGAGAGCACCGCTCAAGATTCAGGACTCCTAGTCAAGACTGCTTGCGCCCGATCTCGGAGCAGCACACCGGGACCCTGAAGCAGCAGAAATGCCAGGCTCGCAGTCGCACACCTGGAAAGACACCAATGAGGGATGCCAAGACTATTGATTTGGTGAGCTTTGCAGATGCGGTCAAAGGGAAATGTGCAACAAACGTGGAGGCTGGCGGCAAAACACACACTAAGATAGAGATGAAGATAGCTCATTTAACACAGACGATACAGATGATGTAAAAGCAAATTGATCGCATGCAAGCACAGATTCACGTGAAAGATGAACTCATACAAAAGCTCCAGTCTGCCACTAACAGAGAGACTGACGAACAGGCAATGCAGGAAACACAAGAAGAACTCATAAAAGACGATGAAGTCGAGTGCCCCAAGGCTGAACGCAGACTCGCTTCCACTCTTACAAAGGCAGTAAATCCCAAGCGAACATGTGCAGGAACAGGCAATGTCCGAGTGGAAGCAATGGAGGCTCGCTTAAAGGGGTCTTGCAACACTTTTTAAGCATGGTCAAAAAACGCTGCTGATCGATAGTAGAAGCTCCCGAGAACATGCGAGCCAAATATTAGAGCGCTGCACGCGGCCAGGAATTCACAATAAATTACGAAAGTCAGCTGAAAATTGCTTTCTCTTCTATCGACGAATGATGGAGGAAACTCAAAAATCACTTGTAGAAAGCCATCTATCAGGCATTGGCTGATTTGAACATGGTGCAGTCGGTCATTACAGAGATCGCCAAGAGAGGCCATGACTTGTCTACGCGTGCGCGCACGATCATCCTAAAAAAGGCCGCGTATTCGAAAAAAAAAAAGTGTTAAGGTCATGAGGGGCACGTGATGTATTTTCTATGCTCATGCCATCCCTCCCTGCTTAGCTTCCAGTGTTCTCGTTGGGATGAGAGAAGAGAGAATGCGATTGCAGCATGTGACAAATCATTGTAACTCCACTCGTACGGGACGGATTCTTAAAATTTTCGCGGCGCTGAATTCATGAGGCAATAAGCTTTTGTAGTAAATTCGTTCCATGGTTACTTGAAAAAGTGTTTCAGGGCCTCTTTAACCAGTCTTGAGGAAACTATCACCGCTACTATCAAGCGTACGATTCAGCAGAGCTTGGAAAGCGCTTATCTCAGATTGTCCAGATTAGAAGCTGCCAATAGCATACTTATGACGTCGCATAGAGAAGCGGCACCACGCAAGTAGCACCACATAAACATAGCCCAACACTTTTGAAAACAAAAACACGATAAAGCACTGGAACTGTAGAAGTTACCAAAACAAACGAGCGCACTTACAATACCTGAAAACGATTCCCGAACGACCAGACGTCATCATATTGCAAGAAACAAACATCCCCAGCAAACTTTCAGGGTACCAGTCTATAACAGGCACAGCGAGGAACCCAAACCTCACTATGCTGGTTAAATGAGAGCTCACAGTTATTGAACACAACACCAAAGTCAAGGATATTGAAAATATCCTCGTAGAACTTATTCCTCCGCACAAGACGCCCGACAGTATTTTCGTACTCAATGTCTACAGAAGTCCCAGATGCCGCAAACACCACTTCCATGTCCTTTTCAAACGAGCACTCGATATCGCCCAGGGGCAACAACTCTTCATTGAAGGAGACTTCAACGCGGTGCACACGGTGTGGGGTTAAAAACACGATCATCCGAAAGGCAGACATTGATGAACAAAGGTGCAACACGCCAGCCTCGAGCTGGTCACTGACACGGCGGCACCCACTAGGCAGGGCAACAACGTCAGCACCGACACCACGCCAGACCTTATTTTTGCGTGCAATACACGAAAAGTGGCTTGGAGGAACACTATGCAAGACTAGGGTGGTGACCACTACATTACTTCTATGGAAGCAAAAGCAGCCCCCAGGAAAACAATGTCAATCAACAAATGAAAATCATCAACTGAGAACTACTATGAAAAAATCGGGACAAGCAACAGGCCGAGGACATCAAAGGCATGGAACAATGAACTGAACAACTTCGGCGGGACATCGAGTGGGTGACGCAATCAATGCTGTTACAGCTGGGCTCGAGCAAATGAACACCCGGTTACTGCACATGTGGGAAACCAAGACCAACGGCAGTACCGCAGAAAACAACAGAGGCACAATTGGAGATTGCAAAAACGCATAGCACAGCTCAACAAATAAAAAGCATGCGCTTGACCTGCAACAACAGCAATGGGAAGGGAAATGAGCAAAGATGGACGGACAACTCACTACGAGTCGCACGTTGCCGATACTGCGGTACCTTATAGATCCCGCCAACACCAGGACCACACAGAGGCAATGCATATGCAAAATCATACACGCTTATGGCGGAACGGAGGAAGATTTCTTACGAAAGTGTAACTCCGCTACATATACCCAATGCCATCGCAAGTACATCCAGACTACAAAGAAGAAAGCAACGCCGTCCTAGATGCTGAATTCTCAAATGCCAAAATCGAGGCCGTCCTCATCAAACTCAACACCAAGTCGGCCCCAAGCCTTGATTGAATGTCCAACAGGTCACTGCACAATGTCGATTACAGGTCGCTAGAAAAACTCACAGACTATAATAACGAGTGTTGGATGCGTGGAAAGTTACCCCAGCAATATAAGGAAGCACAGGTCATGCTGATACCAAAACCCGGCAACAAATTGCAGTTGGAGAGCCTGCGTGCTATCTCCCTGACGTCTTGTATAGGTAAACTGATAGAGCATGCTTTTCTCAATAGACTCGTTGATTACCCAGAAGACAACATCCTATTACCACACACAATGATTGAGTTTCAAAGACATCTCTCCCCACAGGATGCCCTTCTGCAACTTGAAACATCAAATTACAGAAAATCATGGGCGCTCAACGTGAGCCAGGCCTGGACCTGAAAAAGGCCTTCGATAATGTTTGCCACGATGCTACATTGCAGCAAATAGACATGCTGAATCTCAGAATGCGAATTTACAACTACATCAGAGACTTCCTCATAAGAAGAGCCGCAAGCATGTGAGTGGAACAACTAGAACAAAATAAAATCTATATATATAGCTCGGGCACTCCACAGGGCTCTGTATTCTTGCCGATGCTATTCGATCTTGTCGATGTTATTCAACCTCGTCCTGCTGGGGTTACCAGAATGATTACATCCAGTCGATGGACAGCACCACATGCTATACGTGTATAATATTACTATCTAGATGACAACTCGCAGCGACGAAGTGATTGAGAAGAGCTTGCAGAAGGCTATAGAATGCGTGAAAGACTACCTCGTGGGCAGGGGACTCACCTACTTGGCCGAGAAATCTGAATCGCTGCTATATAGACCAGTCAGAAAGGAATGCCTGCTCAGGATTACGTCCCTTTGGAAAAACAAAAAACAAAATTAACAGCATCAAACGGCTCACTCATCCGAATGATAAAGGAGATCCGGGTACTGGGGATGATGATTGAGCAGAACGGCAGCAATGGTGAAGCACTGCGCAAGATAATGGCAAAGGCCACCAGCATGATGCAACTCATCCAGCGCATCACAAACTAACACGCGGGCATAAGCGAAGGCAGCGTCATATGGCTCATACAAGCCTTTGTCATTTAACAAATAACGTGCACGACACTGTTTCACAGATGGACAGCTACAGAA